AAAAATTATGACTTAACAGTATATTAATTTTTAGTTTCTTAGACAAACTGTGATGGCCTGCTAATTTTAACCCACTATGCAGTTGGTGAAACAATTACTTACAAGGCTGGGGTGTTTTATGACATATGTTTTAAAAGTGTTACAACCATCCCCTTGCTCAAAGTGTGAATAGTTTTTTGATGTTACATATACTCATACATATACTTTTACAGCATCATGGCTAGATAGTGGAAGAGAAAGACTGATAGAGGTGTGCCTGCTAATATAAAAGTCCGGTCCTCTTAGTCCTGTTGTTAAATGGGCTGCACCTACGCGATGTTATCGTGCCTTCGGCTCAGATACTGCTGAGCATTTTTCAACACTATTTGAACAACTTGTGTCCAGTCCCTCTGAGTCGTCCTCCGTAGATGGATTACTATCTCATCTGGACTCTGTTAGTAAATCTGCCCTTGATGTTGTTGCACCTCTAAGACTCAGGCAGTGTAAACCCAAGGCCAGTCCTTGGCTAACCAATTTTACTAGAGCCATTAGAAGAGAATGTAGGAGATGTGAAAGACGATGGAAAAAGGACAGACTGTCTCTCTGGAAGCTCTTAAGACGAGCTGGAAAGCTTATCAGAGGGCAGTAAAGACTGCCAAAACTCCTATTTTTCACAACTTATTGCTGTTAATTCACATAACCCTCGTGTTCTGTATAATACCATTAATTCTGTAGTGAATGCAGAGGATCATGTTCTTTTGCAATCTTCTGAGGTTATGTGTAATAAGTTTCTTAATTTCTTTGTGGATAAGGTTGCCAGTTTGAGACCCTCCACTTTATCTTCTGTTGGCCCGGCTGTGCATGTTCCCTGTTTAAATTTGCTTATTGCTTTCCAACCAACTGTTCTACCTGAACTAGAGAAGCTTGTGTTAACTGCTAACCTGCGTGGTTCTCCGAATGATGTCGCTCATCCCCATTTACTAAAAAAAGTGTTTCCTACTGTTGCCAAACAGAAATTGCTTATTTATGCATCTAGCAGTTATGTGGCATTATGGTTATATTTTCTAAAAAAAAAAGTGTTTCCTACTGTTCGACCACATATTCTGAACCTAATTAATACCAGCCTCTTGTCAGGTCAAGT